AAAAAAAAAAAAAAAAAAAAAAAACGACACTACTGTACAAGCTTCGACAAAGGGAAGAAGAAAAAAAAAAAAATAAAAAATAAAAGAAATCTTCGATCGTCTAGCACTACACACACATACACACACACATTGTCGACAACCTTATCTGAAGTGACTCGTTAACATTATAAATATTCGATTTGAAATATTATTATTGTATAATATATATATATATATTCGACTAATAAAATTTATCTATATATGATGAAAAAACTCTCTATCACACTTATAAAATAAATTAAGTAAATATGTACATTTAATGAGCAATTTATACGTCTGATTAATAATTGAATCGAATCTAACGTATGCGACATATATATATAAACATAATTTTGGGAATAAGAATATATACTATATGTATAGATTCGTTGTAGAAGAAAATTTTCTTAACGAAAATTACACTTATTAAGTAAAGATGCATTAAACGCACAAAATCAAACAAGCTCTTCTTTCCAAGTCCAATCAGATATGATGAGAAAAATTCATTATTACATGAGTATGCAAATATGTTGTTTTATTATGTAATCGCTATATTATACTTGGATGTTTAACGTTATAAAAATTAAATGTTTTAAAGGAACGATTTATTGCGACAAAACGTATATAATTCTTTTTCCATACAATTCTGAGAACACATACGATAGTCTATAATTATTGTCTATTATCGGATCGCATTAAATATTCATCGATCGATCATTGTGCGCAATGCGCGATCTACAACATTAATAAGTCGATCAAATCATTTGTAAACAGATAATAGATTGATATTTTGTTTTCTTTTTTGTTTGTTTTGCTCGATCATGTTTTATATTCGTTTTATTACGCCTGAAAGAACGTAAAGCGGCGAATAAGCGGATAATTTTTTTTTCCCCCTTTCCTGCTGAAACTTTTTTCGCTTCAACGCGATCTTTGAATAGCTCGTAAAATTTCTTTTACTCATCACTTTCGTAATTGGACTTTTTATCTTCGAACGAATCTTGAACTATAAAATTATCAAAATATTCTAAAATATATTTTAATTTTAATAAAGATTGTCCGTAAAAGATCCTTTCTTCTTCTTCTTCTTCTTTTTTTTTTTTTTTTTTTTTTTGTCACTTCAGAATTCACTTCATCACTTCGATTCGTGTTAAACATCCTTCGTTAATCGATCCATGGAATGTCAGAAGTAATATATTTCGTATACGCGATATCTTACAAATTTTCAATTGCATATTCTGATAAGTATGCAAAAAAGAAAAAAAAAAAAAAAAAAAAAAAAAACGTACCGGATGGGCGTACGCGAAAAAAAAAGGAAAAAAAAAAAAAAAAAAACCGCGGACTTAGGGAAAAAAAAAAAAAAAAAAAAAAAAAGAAAAAAAACAAGTACTAGCATGCATTTACCAAACACTCAGACACATTCGTTGAAATGAAGAAATGTTTCGCAGCACCTTACATATAAAGTATCGTAAACAAAGTTCTTCATCGTGTCGCGAATACTACAAGCTAATTTCAATGCAGTCTAAAGATTTCTATCGAAAGATGCTATTTCTTATAAGCCAGGCTACCGCGCATCATTAAAGAAATTCTTAATAAGTACCATTCGTGTAACGAGAGAGAGAGAGAGAGAAAAAAAATAGATATATTGAAAAAGGAAAAGAACTCTACTATTGTATTCATGAAAATTTTACATGACATAAATCGTATCATCCATTCATGCTATATATATTTTACTTTTAAAATGCAATATTTCATCATGTCAATATCAAAAAACTCTTCCATCGAACACAACTTTTCAAAAGTTACACGATTAACGATATATATATATATAAAAAAAGCTCGAATAAAACAAATTTCAAATAACACGATTCATATAATATTCTATATACGTATCACAGTGCATGTATCGATATAAAAATGCATTGTTACGAATACGATAAAAATCGTATATCTATGAAATATCTATGAGCAAATGTAAAGATAAAAAATAAAAAAAAAAGAAAAGAAAAAGAATTAATATGAACACGAACAAAGCAAATGCTACTGAACACACATTATATATATATATATATATATACTTCACGTTAGAGAAAAACGTGATCGAAATATATTAAAGAAGAGAAATAGTAAAAATTATTACGCGTTACTGTGATGTTAAAAACTGATTTAAAAAAAATATTCTCTTTAGACTAAACGAGAAGAAATCAATCAAATCGGAGAAAGCACCCTAAACTAACTACTCTCTAATCGTTCTATCTATTTGGCAAGGATAGGAATTCTATGTTACATCTTCGAATTCGCTAAAGAAAGAAAAAAAAAAAAAATAGACATAACCTCAGTCCATATGCTCTTCTAATCGATTTGAGGCCGACATAATACGCGTCCTACTTCGCAATAATGATGAAAAGAAAAAAAATCTTTTCTCGATACATTTTAAAAAGAAATCGTCACAAATTAAAAATTTTGCGAGAAATAATATCGTACGAACGTGTAATATGTAGAAAAATTATGACATATAATTAAGATAGTTACTTAAGATTTAAAATATATTAATTAAGTATATATATTAATTTTCTAAAAATATTTTTAAAACGAGTCGAACCTCGAATCAATTGATATATATATATATATAAAAAAAAAAAATAAAATAAAATAAAATAATAACTACGATATTTCTCTGATTCCTAACAATCTAAAAATTACTGGCATATAAAGATAAAGGTCTACTATCTCTTTTAGACCTATTCTGTTTCTCTTGGTCATTCACATTCTGTTGATTTTCAATTGCCAATCTCGGATCAGAATAAAACGACCTCATCGGCTGTTCGCGAACATGATCGATAAAGACTCTAGGCTTGTTGGAGGCTTTATTTTGCTTTGCAGCGGCAGGTCGAGATTTGACACACGGTGATGCAACGGGACTATACTTGGACGAGTGCGGATAATACAATTTGTTTTTTTGATATTTTAATTTAGCGGCACTGTCCAACGAATCGTACTCGTCATAAGGGGACACAGGCCTTTGCAAATGATCCAACGGATTTGAATAGTCGTTCGAGTAATCAACGTACTTCAAGTCGCGATTGGACAGATTGGTTCGATCAGTTTTGATCGTGTCGTTTCTGAAGCTACATTTACTTCGTCCAGAGCTGTTAAACGTTTTATCGTTATGTTTTGGGAAGCTGGTATCGTGACAAACGGATTGATGAGAGCTAGCTGTGCCTGCGGGGTAATTTTGAGCGGAATTTTTGTGAGGGTGAGCAGGTGATGGAAGAGCCGAGTAGCTAACGTACATAGGATGCAACGGCGTGTGGCCTGCCAACCCAAAGTCATCACCTCCCACAAAGTCAACTGAAATATGACGTAGAATCGATTGCATTAGATCGGATTTTATTGTGTCTGTGGCATGAGCTTAGTAATTCTTTTTGAATAGAATTAACTTAGGTGGTATACTCGATACTTAAGTTTCATTTCGACATGGCCAATGTTATAATCTTTTTATATCTATTTTGCAACATGCTGTATCAATGAATTCAGAAATGGAACCGCGTAATATCCAAGCTCGATAGAAGTTATTTTACAATACATTCGCAAAAGAATCGATGAATAACGAGAATAATAAATAGGTGCGCATGAAAGAAACTATTTTACTTCGTGCTTTAAAAAAAAGGAGCAAATGCGTGCAACCATGAATCAGGCAAAGCACTTACCAAAGTGGAGGATCAAATCCACCAATGAAATCAACTGTAACCGACAACCCTTTTTTCAAGCAATAATAAATCTTAAACTTACTTAATTAAATAAAAAAAAAAAAAAGAAAAAGATACCCAGGATAATTTATCATAACTTTTTTCCATAGAGAAACGTATTGTTTTGATATGATTTTTATGATAAAAAGATTTATCATTGCACGTTTTTCTTTTTTTTGATTTTATAAAAATGAAGAATAAAGTTTAGAATATTGTTCCTAGATCTCATTTACCGATAGAATAAGATTTACCACAGAATGATATTACGAGATAAAATTCAAAATAAAATTCTCATTCTGCAAATTAATTCTTATACTAA